ACAGGCATCACCTTTCTAATATAGACACCTCTCTCTAATATGGACACCTTTCTAATACGGACACCTCTCTCTAATGTGACATAAACCTTTCTGATATGGACACCTCTCTCTAATATGTGACGGAAACCTTTCTAATATGGAAACCTCTCTCTAATATGGAAACCTCTCTCCAATATAGACACCTCACTCTAATATGGACACCTTTCTAATATGGACATCTCTCTCTAATATGTGATGGAAACCTTTCTAATATGGACACCTCTCTCTAATATGGACACCTCTCTCTAATATGGACACCTCTCTCTAATATGGACACCTCTCTCTAATATGGACACCTCTCTCTAATATGTGATGGAAACCTTTCTAATATAGCCACTCTCTCTAATATGGCCACCTCTCTCTAATATGGACACCTCTCTCTAATATGGACACCTCTCTCTAATATGTGATGGAAACCTTTCTAATGTAGCCACCTCTCTCTAATATGGACACCTCGCTCTAATATGGACACCTCTCTCTAATATGTGATGGAAACCTTTCTAATATAGCCACCTCTCTCTAATATGGACACCTCTCTCTAATATGGACACCTCTCTCTAATATGGACACCTCTCTCTAATATGTGATGGAAACCTTTCTAATATAGCCACCTCTCTCTAATATGGACACCTCTCTCTAATATGGACACCTCTCTCTAATATGTGATGGAAACCTTTCTAATGTGGACACCTCTCTTTAATATGGAAACCTCTCTCTAATATGGAAACCACTCTCTAACATGGAAACCTCTCGCTAATATGGACACCTCACTCTAATAATAATAATAATAAAATCTTTATTTATACTGATAAAAAAGACCGTTCAGTCAATTACATAGATTGGCTGGTATCAATCGGTGATCAGTGTATAACAAGTATATATACAATAACATAAGTGCGTAACAGTGCATAAATAAGGCTATATAATGTAAACACTGTTTACACCTGCAACCTCCACTGCGATTCCAGGCGCGACACTCCTCCCCCGATGCATGCGAACGAGCAGATGAGCAATGAATGTTCTGAGTACATGTACCTTCATCTAAACATTCACAACTCATCCACCCCCTCACACCCACCAAGAGAAAAAGACCGCACCCAAAATCGCAGCAAAAATTGCAAGTGTCAACAGGCCTTAAGATGTCTAAAATTACAAACTACAATTGTGCGTAACAGCATCCATGTTTATCAAGTGTTTAAACACTTCATTCTTGAACCGCACAAGTGTTTTTAATTCTCGTATTTCTGTCGGTAGAGAATTCCAATCTTTGGCAGCCGAGAATCTGAATGAGGTCTCGCCACATCTAGTTCTTACTGGCGGTAAGTCTAGCAATGTTGGATCTCTAATACGGACACCTCTCTCTAATATGGGATGAAAACCTTTCTAATATGGGCACCTGTCTCTAATATGAAAACCTCTCTCCAATATGGACACCTTTCTAATACAGACACCTCTCTCTAATATGTGACGGAAACTTTTCTAGTATGGACACCTCTCTCTAATATGGACATTTCGCTAATACGAAAATTCATACTGTACATATAAAATATTGTCTACCTTGTACACAGTACAGTCGCCACAGAATTTCAGTTAAGCCCCATTTTAATTCCAAATGTAAATGCAGCCATTGGCCTGCTGGGGAAAGTTTGATGTTAGAACTTGCTCCATCAAGTTTGAGAAATGAACCATTCGGTAAACTGGAGACAGCACCAATAAAAAGCCAAAGATTATTTACATCCTTTCTTAATGAGGCTGGAAATGAATTCCATGATTCCAAGTATGGATCATTTGTTTCAGCCAAAATTGTTAACGGTGATAAGTTCCTATGAAGTAGAGAAATTTGAACATGTGCAGTGTGAGAATTCCGGCACATTGTCATTAAACTTGGGTGGGGAAAATGATATTTGAAAATTAGCTAAATCCACACAAAACGACACTTGCCTGTGAACAAATGCACTGACATACAATAAGAAGCTGCAACATTGTTTTCTAATACTTGTATAAAACCAACAGTTGTCTACAATTGAAAAACAAGATTTACTAATGTATATGAATATGGTCACCATGTTACTTACATACCAGTTATAATAGATAATTTTTAATGCAATTTAATGTTCAGTTAGAAAATCATCAGTGACAATCTTGACAACACTCAGTCAGTGACAATAGACAACAATTAGGGACAATCCTAATACAGATATATAGCCGAGCTTTATTTCAATGTAAGGTGTCATAATGACACAGTCTGATCAAATTACCTCCAGTCTGAGGAATATAACTTGAAAGACCTTGGTCAGTTTCTTGACTTTCAAACTCAAACATTTTCTGTCTAAATAATACAAAACCAGGTGGTATTTAACCCAGTAAGCTGCAATGTGGTCAAATATACACAACTTTATTATTTAACTCTGTCTGATGATTTTACTTGTAAAGCCTGGCACATATTAATGGGTTAATAAAACTATCTGCCAATGTGTCTTATTAACCCATTAAGCTGCAATGGTTATTTTCAGAAAACATCCAGACATCCCCCACAGAGAAATTTGGAAAGTTAACCCCCTACCTGCCTTGGACATCCTACTAGTACATTTTACTATTATTAGAAGTACATTTCCTCCCTTCCCCCTCTGGATGGCAGAAATTTCCTCAGTGGCAGGGGGCGGATCTTTTCTGAAATGATTCAATGTGCCCAAATAACCAATGTTGTTATTTTACTCTGTCTAAGGCAGACAATATTACTCATCACAGGAGCATAATGGTTTAGTGTTACTTATATATTGAGACCAAACTTCTGAAGTGGCAAGGATATACTTTTGAAAAACAAAACTGATACCTATACAATTTTAATTAAAGTAATTATACCTGAGAAAATAAAAAAGCTTCTGTCTTTGTTCAACCAATGCAGTTGCAGTTATAAATTGATAATCAAAAAGTTTGATAATTGGTTTCTCCAATAAATTATCTTTCGGTTCCTCATTCTGTAGAAGTCTGTGAATACAGAACACTTCATTATCCAACCAGCTAGAGGAATCTTCAGGGAGACACTCCACCAAGTATCATTATTTTATATGGATATAACTACGGTTGTTTTTTATGTTACTCTGAGTGTTTATCAAAAACATTATTTCACCTGAGTACAACTGTTATACTATCAGGTCTAAACCATTTTCACTACTGACCCTGTAATGGACATCCTTAATTTAATGGTCCAGGGTTAATACTTATTGAAGAAGGAATCAAGTTTACTCAGAGAAGCCCAGAGAATCATATGCATTGTACAATATAGTAAAGGCAAATTTAAAGGACTCAGAGACCGAGGATAAATTAGAATGAAAAACTCCAAATAGCAGGAATTGAAACCAGTTATAGAGAAGGAAGAAGTGTTATATGATATTATGTTGTCAAATTTTGCATGCATGCTGATGTTAATGATTAGATCTTGAACGGTCTTTGCCATGAATGTAGGTAGTGGCAATGATAAGTAAGCTGCAGATTGATACTAGGGATACAACTCCCTAAAAAACCCCAACTTTGATGTTTCGAGTGAAGGCCCTTTGTTGGGAAGTTAGTAGCAAAGGGCCATGTATTTTTAAGGTAGTTATATCCCTATCAATCCACAGCTTTCTGTTAATGATTATAGGCATGTTTTGTACCTTGAAAGCAACCCAGGCTCAATGTAACCTCCTCTTAAATTTGTTGTGCTCTGTTTTTTTCCGGACTTCTTTGAGATTGTATGGCAACAGTTGAAGAAAGGGGTAAATTCTGTAATAAAATCACACAATGGTTTGGGGGACTCAGAACTTTAGGGTAGGTAATAAAGATTGAACTAACAATATGTATATTGCCATAAATCGATACATAGCACATACTGAATAGTCAAATTATACCACTTTTATATCGAGGTTCAACCCTCCCTCTGGCACCACTTAGGAGTTGTTTATGAGCTGGGATGGCCTGGCAAACCAGGCTGGCTTGCTTTGCCAGCTTGTCATTCAGTGCCGTAGCCAGAATGATAATTGGGGGGGGGGGG